CGACACCTTCTATGGCCGGCCGACGGGGCTCCCCTCGGGAAGCTCTGCCGGGGCAGTGATCGGCTCTCCCCGCTCAGTCCCAGCAAGCCATCTGGGGTTCTGCCCCACTCGCCTCCTTCAGTGCTCCCCACAGCCCCATACTAAACCTTGTTTTCTCTGGAGAGGGCTGGAATCAACGCCCAGCCGGGCCTCCGAAGAAGGGAGAAGTCATTTGTAGGTCAGGGCGAGCCAACTTCGAGGCGTCTTGTCAATTACTGATCATCTCCCCGGCATAATTTGTGCCCCACCCCCGGGAAAGGAAAAATAGATCCCTTCTCATCAGTCTTCCTCGTTAGTGGAAACGGAAAGCCTGAGAATGCTGAGAAAGCGCAGTAGGTCTCTAGGGTCCTGGGTAGAAGTCTTGCACATCACCTGGCCCTTCTAACGGGATATGCCAGGGATTGAACCCGGGACCTTCTGCATGCAAAGCAGAGGATCTTCCCCTGTACTGTATTCTGTTCAAAACCAGGCTCCTTTCAAAAGTTCCCTAACAATGGGTGGAAGTCAAACAATGTAAGTAAGCTATGTTGGGTCCCCACTGGGGAGAAAGATGCATTATAAATGAAGTAAAGAAGTTAAAACAGGTGAAACTGTTTGCTTTTATCTGCACATGAGAAAAGCATGCAAGGAAGGTTTTATTGCTGTAATTAATATTGGTGAGTATTGTCAGAATTATCCACTTCTTTTGAAATCAGCAGATTATGCTGGTGTTGGGGATGGACTCTGGACCAAGAGAACTTAAGATACTGATGTTCTTGATATGTGCTGCCCATATGCCAGTAGAGTATGTGGGCATTCTGCATGATATGTTGTGAGAGGGACTTAACTGCTATCCTAAATTGCTTCAGAATGGCATTAGGATTGTAAAATGGATCTTCCAATAAGTAATTGGCAGGGGGTTTACTTGCCTGACTTAAAACTGTAGTTTACAGGCTGGCCTAAACTGATCAGGGGATTTTTGGGTCCCTTGGGTTCTTCATACCTCTGAGAACTATTAAAGTTGGTGTAAAAGCTTGCTTTCAGGGTTGTGGGTTTTTACATAGGTTTTTTTTTTTTAGTTCTATCATGTTTAGATTTATTTTGCTTTGTCATTTTGTCCTAAAGGGACAATGGCTTTTCCTAGAACACAGTGATCATTAGTGACTTGCAAATAGAAACATTAAAGAGACTTAAATTTCAACATCACAATTAACAGGATTTTTCAGAATGCTTTGTGATTTGTGTTTTTCTGTTTGAGAGAGAAAATCAGAGATTGTATTACTTGTTCTCACAATTAAAAAAAAGAAATTAGCAATTTCAAATTTTGTGTTTTTCATTCTTCCTAAAATGCCTTTATATTTGAAAATTGGTGGGTGCATGGGGAGGGGGTGTCAGAAGGTAGCCTCACCTAGTGTGCAAAAAACCTGGAGCCAGCCCTGCTTCCTGCAGTAGATTTTCCCACCCAGGCGCAAACCAGACGTTTTCTCCTTTTTCACCCATGTTTTTGGAATCCCCAGTTTTATCAAGTTCTGAAAACGTGGGCTAAGAAGGAGAAAATTTTGGGTCTGTGCCTGGTGAGG